GAAGCCCCAGGAGCCTGCCTGGGGCCTGGCTCCTGTCCCCCATAAGCACACAGGTCTCAACTAGGGGACCGCATGGCAGGCCTAGGGACACCAGCGTTAGCCCTGGGCAGAGCCTGAGAGCCTGCAGCAGCCCCCTCCCACCACCCAGAGGGCCTCAGCCTCCCAGCCCCCTCCTCAGTATTAGACCCTCAACTCCCCCCCCAACCAATCCATCAGGCCCAGAAGGGAGGAGGGGGCAGGGAGGAGAGGGACAGGCAGGACTGTAAGAAGGCCCCCTGGGCTCCCTCCTGTCAGTCTGCGCATCTGCACATGGGCCCAGCTCTCTCTAGACTCTAAGCCGGGAGGTGGGGTGATCTGCAGCAGGCAGAGGGCAGAGGTCAAGCCCACCTGACCACAGGGCAGCTGCCAGCAGGACAAGCCCAGAAGAGGCCTCTGGACAGAGAGCAGCCCCTGGTCCCGCAGAGAGGAGGGTGAGCAGGCAGAGCTCCCCTGGCCCTGCGGGGTGTCCTGCAGGCTACCTCTAACCCTGTCCTGGCCAGGCACCGGCTGCAGGACAGCAGGCCCAGGCACCGGCTGCAGGACAGTCTGGCTGGGGAGGGAGGCTGGCGGGGGAGGGGGCTGAGGCGAGAGGCGCTAATAGGTTATGTCAGGCGAGAGCTCTGGGGAGGGGCCGCGCCTCGAAGCTCTGGCAGCCCCACCTGGGGCCCGAGCCCAAGAGCCGGAGCCTGGAGAGAGAGGCTGGCCGGGTTCTGAGCAGAGCGTGAGGACCCGAGAGGGGGACAGCGAGACAGGGCTCCCCAGCCCTGCTGACCTGTGGCGGGATGGTGGGAAACACAGACCCCTCTGGAGGGCTGGAGGAGCCCATGTGGAAGAATCTGCCCAAGATGACAAGGGACAGGGCCTGATGGGGGGCAGAGCCCCAGGGATCACCCCCTCCTCAGGAGGGCCCTCCTGTCCCCTCATCCCAAAGTGCCAGGATCCCATCCCTAAATGAGAGAACCCTGATAGTTGCCCCCCAAACCCCCACACTCTGTCTGGATCCAATCAACCCCACATAACCCCCAATGTCACTGCCTTCACGGGGATTGGAGGGGGTCAGGAGCTGGGGGACAGAGGGGCCAAAAATCCATCCCCTTCCCAGGCTGTGGGCTCCAGAGTCATGCAGCAGCTCAGGAGGGAGGAGGGGAGCTCAGAACAAGGGGGTCAGTGAAGGGCCAGGGACGCGGGCAGACTGAGGAGGGGGCCCCTCGCAATCCTGGTGGGGCAGCCAGGGCCCTGTGTGTCTTGGCCGAGCGGGACCCCTGGGCCGCCAGGTATGTAACCATTCCAGCCATTTCCTGCCCTATTAATGAGAAAGGGGCTGATATAAATATACACTTCGCATAAATAAATAGAGGCCAGGCCCAGGGCCGCATAGCAGACGGATTGCGTGGAACTGCTGGCCAGACCTCCAGCCAGCCCCCCACCCCACCCACAGCCCCCCCACTGCCCCCCACTTGTTTTCCACTGGCGGGCCAGGGCCCCTCCACACTCACACGCCTGAGGACAGACTGACTGCCCTTGCCCTCGGCCTGGGCCTCAGAACCCCCTCCCTGGGGCCCCAGGGAAGGAGGCCGGCCTGGGAGACGGAGGGAGGAGGCAGGGTCCTGGGAGAGAGCCCCGCGCCAGCACTACCTCACACCCAGAGGCCCAGAGCTGGGACTGTGCCTGGTGACAGGTGGGGAACAGAGGCTCAGGCGTGCAGTGACTTGCCCCAGGTCACACAGCAGAGCATGCGGTGCGGGGGATTCAGGATCGACACCCAAGGCCTCTGCTCTGTCGGTTGTCACAAGAGGTGGTCAAGGGTAGTTCTGGTTTTTCCTCCCCAGGATACCAGGGTCCTTAAGGGGCCCAGAGGACTTTTCAAGGCATAAGCAGCACCTCAGAAATATGGGGGTGGGGGTTCAAGGAACCAGATCTGGGCTGTTCGAGGCCCAGGCAAGGCAGCTGTGTATACAGGAGGCCTGGCCTCCCCAGCCCAGGGTACCTCCTTCCCAGAGCGTTCAAGAGCAAAGCCTGAGCCTGGCACAGTGATGCACACCTGTAATCCCAGCAGCTCAGGAGGCTGAGGCAGGAGGATTTCAAGTTCAAAGCCAGTCTTAGCAACTTAGCAAGGCCCTAAGCAACTCAGCGAGACCCTGTGTCTAAATAAAATATAAAAAGGGCTGGGACGGGGCTCAGAGGTCAAGGATCCCTGGGTTTTTTCCTTAGTACAAAAAAAAAAAAAAAAGCAAGTCCTGGGCACTGGGGTCCCCCAAATGCTGACTTATGGGGATTGCCCTACCCACCCCACCTTGCACACACATGAAACTGAGACCCAAAGCAGAAAGCCTCATCCTGTGTCCCACATGGAGGCAGGGACAGAGCCACAGAATCCTCCTTGGGCTGGGGTAACGGCTCAGAAAGGGCTCTCTCCTTCTACAAGGCTGTCCTGTCTGGGGGGGTGGGGCTGGCTCTCCACACTGAGTGGGCTGTGACCTAGAACCCAGCCTGGCACCCTGTCATGGGGCACAAGTCAGCAACAGTGGCCATGAACCTGACAGCACTCCCACAGCGAGGATCAGATCTGGGCCCCACCCCAGAACATTCCTCACCCCCAGGCCCAGTTCAAATTCCCCCTCCTTCAGGAAGCCTTCCCAGCGTCCCAGCCCCAGGGAACAGCTGCAGGCTGCTCTGAGCCTTGGGCAGCCCTGGATGAAGACTGTGCCCTGATTCTGCACCACTGAGGTCTTCTCTTGACAGTGTCTTGTATGTGGACCCTTATCCCCAAGCTTGGCCATACGAGCCATTCCCCTGCAGACCAGGGAACCCAGGAGCTGTACCTTTACCAAGTTGCATGCCCACCACTACCAACTGCCCTCAACTTAGGAGCCACCTGGTGGCCAGGTAAGCAGGTGGGCACTCTCCTCTGTTCCCCGCTGGGTCTGCAGGCAGGATGACACCTCACTGCCCTCCAGGCCTTGGTACAGCCTGGAACCCTCTCAACCCTGTGCCTTCTGCCCGGGGCTCATTCCAGCCATGTGCGGTCAGACCAGATCCTCACAAATGTGACCTGAGGAGCGTCGGTAGGCCCCAGAGGGTCAGAGAGGAGCTCTCCAGGGTACAGACCCCCTCCCAGCCTGCGCCCTAGATGTTCTCCCAGTCCAGAGCTGATCTGATGGTCCCCATGCAGCCATGAGGAAAGGACCGTACACAGGATGGACTTGGACATGGGTGAGGGGCAGACTGTCAGAGGCGAATGAGCAGCAACTGGCCTAAGGACCTGGCCGGAATTCATCAGCTCGGTGTGGGCATGTCCCGTGGGACTGGCCAGGTTTGCAATATGCAGAGGCTCCCTTTTGCAACAATACAGATGGCAGATGGGTTGACGCTGTTCCCACGTCTAGAACCAGAGGGCAGGAGACACTGTCACCTTTATACTTCTTTACATTTTTAGTCAAAGGATAAAACACCAATATCACGTACACAATCCCACCTCAGGTCCCCGTCCAGGCTGGCATGAGCCTCTGCCCATCACCAGCCCCACCTGGCCTCGTCCTCTGTGCCCCTGCCCAGACCCTGGTCTCCAGCCGTCCTCTCCTCTCTTGGCCTTTGCGCCCCCCTTCTGTCTTCCCCTTCCCCAGCCAGGCCCCCCCAGGCCAGCCGGGTGCAGCGCCTTGGTGGCCCCAGCCAGCTCCAGCGACTTGAACGCCCCTGCCCTCAGGTTCCCTTGCCAATCGTGTGTGCTGTGGAGTCTGGTCCAGTTTCCTCTTCACCAGGACCTCGCAGGTCCCTCCCCAGCATTCTAGCTCGATGGTCAGAGGGACCCCCCTCGGAGTCTCCCCCACAGCAGACCAAGCTTGCTTCTTGGACTTGGAGGAAAGTCCTGGACCTTCCCCGACCCGGCCCAGTGGCAGACCCTGGTTGCCCTGGGAACCAGATGGAGAAGAGGAGACAGGAGGAACTCTCTGGAACCTCCCTCCATGCACCCCACCCTCTGGCCTGGACATGGGTGAGGGGTGATGTCTGACTGTCACAAAACCAGCCCTTCCCTTCCTTCTCAGCAGAACCACTTACCTCAGGGCTGGGGCTGGGGCTGGCCCCTGCAGCCTGAGCTCCCCCTCCCCTCCCCTTCCCCCTCCCCCTTCTCCTCCCCTCCTCCTCCCCCCCTTCTCTCCTCTTTCCCAGCCACCCCTGGAACAGGACCCTGTCCTCACTATCAGGTGACAAGGAGTACAGAGATATCAGGGAAAGCGTCCGCACTCCCCAGGGAGATGGATGGCCCTTCAACACACGGTGTGTGGTTGAGAGGGTGGATTTGTGGATGGATGGATGGGTGGATGGATGGATGGACAGATGCATGGGTAGAGAGATAAATTTGTAAACAGGTGAATGGGTGGGTGGATGGATGGACAGATAGACCGACAGATGAACGGATGGATTTGCAGGTAGTTGTAGGGGGTGGGTGGATGGATGGATGGGTCTGTGGTTGGATTTGCATAGACCAAGGTTGAGTAGCTATGGGGTCTGCTGCAGAGTCCTCAAAAAGATATTGCTGCATCTCTGAAATGTGAGGCCCTGGCGCCCCCCAGAGGCCACAGTCTCTAACTGCCCATCTCCCCCTAAAGCTCTGGGCACAAAGGGTCCTGAGAACCAGGGGCAAGGATTAGACAAAGTTAGGGGTTCTGGGGAAAAAAAAAAATCTGGAGTCCAGTGTTGTCTCTGCCTTTGAATTGCTCTGTGATCCTGGGAAAGCTGAACCCCTCATCCATTTTCTCATCAAGCCAGACGCCTGTGTTTCGAGATTTAAATTACATTATGTGTAAAGTATCTGAGATGGTTGACATCTGGCAGCTGAAAGGTACTTGCAGAATGTGGTTTCCTTCCCAGGGCAGCCCTGGGCACGCGTCCTGTGTACAGGGACCATCCCCCCATCCAGCAGGGAAGGGAGGCGGTGAGAACCTAGCCAGGCCAGACCAGGAGACGCAGATGGGGTCACGTTTATTCTCCAGGGGCTCCAGGCTCTGGCAGGACTGGGCCCGCCTTGCGGGTGGAAGGCTCATGGAGCTTGGACTCAGGCAAGGGTCCTGGGGCCTCCTGGGGTTCAGCCCCCTGAGCTTCCGCCAGCTGGGCCGTGTGCTCAAAGGCAGCCTGCAGCAGGTAGGAGGCGAGGCAGGTGGTCCAGGTGACAAGATAGGCCAGGTGCCAGGAGGTGAGGGCCACGGTGCTCTCCACCCACCTGTACAGGCGCCTCAGCTCCAGCACCGCACAGTTCTCCACGAGAGCCTGGGGCAGGCAAGCAGGTGGCCCCAGGTGCACTGGCTGGCGGCCTGCCCCATCCCAGCCCTGGCCACACCCAGAACCCCTGGCCCACCCTCTGCAGCCCAGCCCCTGCCCCAGCCCACCCACCTGGCTGGGCAGCCAGCCCAGGCTGAAGCGGTGAGCCTTCTGGAACAGCCTCCAGGTGAGCAGCAGCAGCAGCAGGGCCGCCAGCATGAGGCTGTGCAGGCACGACAGGAACAGCTGCCCCCAGGTGTCCACGGATAGCCCCAGCCACGTGCCGGCACCAAGGCGCTGCAGGGTCAGGCCCAGGGTCCGGGCACTGTCCAGCACTGCCTCACACACCAGCCTGGGTCCCCACAGCAGCAGCCACATCGGGACCCACAGCAGTGCCAGTCCTGCCCGCAGAGCCCGGACCAGGGGGCAGCTGGCAATTCCCGTGGGTGGGTGGGCCTGCGGGCTGCAGGAGCCCTGGGCCTCCTGGGCCAGTCCCGACACCCAGTGCCGGAAGAGGCTGATCTTCAGCAGAAGGAAGCTGTACAGGTGAACACGGTTCTGGACCAGCTGCAGGAGGAGGGGACACCAGTGTCACCCAGCAACACCCACCTGGGGGCACCCAACCTGTGCTGCAGATGTGGAGCCGCCAGTCACCTTGGGCTGGGTCCTCCCATGTCCAGACATGAGGATGATCTTTGGTCTGCGGGGACTGGGGTGTGCTCGGGGGCAGAGGGCTCGCCTAGCAGGTGCGAGCCCCCAGGTTTAATCCCCACCGAGTGTCTTGTATTATATTTGGTTCCTTCCTGCTGTGTTTAGATGATCATTGACAACGCTCCAGAGTCAAGGGGAAGACATCATTATGATGATCATTATTGTAGCACAAAGGGTAACACTCCCCTAACAATCCTTCAGGTTTTGAACCCAGGTCAGCTGTCTTTCCCCAACATCTGGACCTGCCTGGGCACCAGTGACCTCTGGGAGCATGGGGGCAGCAGGGTAGATGGAGTCTCAGGGACAGCAAGACGTGAGAGTCATGGGGGGCAGAATTGACCATGGGTCCAGAGAGTGGGGCGGAGGAGAGGGAGGAACCCAAGGAGATGCCCAGATTTCCGATCTGAGTGGCAGATTGGGACAAGGGTGTCCCCCATTCACTGAGGAGTGGGGTTGGCTGGGTAAAGGCTGGACCTCATCAGAGCCCAAAAGTCCCCAGCTTCTGAGTGTCAGCCGTCCACCAACCTGGGTCCCCCAGACCCGGAGACCAGCAGAGCCTGGCTCCTACAGGCTCTGAAGACCAGGGTGGCAGAACCACCTGAGGTCCACCGCATAGGTCCCCTCGTGGGGCTGGACTAGCAGAGCCAAGGGGCGGAGCTTTGATGGGGCAGGAAGGGCGCCTAAGGTGTCCCCTGAGGAGAAGAGTCAGGGTACAGGTAGGAAGTCAGGGTTCCTCCGGGCTCATGACATAGAGGTGAGGGAGAGGGAAATGTATGAGAGCCTATATGATCAGTTCTATAGGAGAGGAAACAGAGGCTCAGAGAGGTAAAGTAATTTGCCCAAAGTCACACAGTTAAAGGGTAGAGCTCTTTCTACTGTGTCCTATTCTCTCTCCATTCTGTAGCACAGAAACAGATTCAGCAGACCACTCAGTCCCCTGAGGGCTCATCATTTGGAGGTGTGGGCCCAAACACGAGCGTTTGCATATTTTTAAAAACTGGATGGTGGGGGCCAATGCTTAACCCACTAGAGTGACCCAATTCAGAGAAAATTCTGGCACTGTGGTTTGGGGGGTGTGGCTTCTGGAAACTGTCAGATTATTCCCCAAGGCAGGCAGTGGCCTGGGTCCCCTGGACAGGACAGGACAGGCAGAGCTCGGCTCAGCAGCTCAGAGGTGGCCAGGAAAGGTCAGGTGGGCGGTCCCCCTCCCCCCGCCCCTCTCACCAGCACTGAGAGCCTCACGACCTGCATCAGAATCCCCAAGAGGCTGGATCTGACCGGAGGGACGGCCTCCATGTCTGGCCTCCCTTCCCTCCTCCAGCTGGGAGAGGTAGGATGACCTCACAGATGCCTCAGGGTGGGGGCCGAGTTACCATGGGGACCCAGTTGCCACCAGAGATCCCCTTTCCCCTGGCTCCTGCACTGTCCCTGCTTCTTCTCTGAGTCCTGAGCCCCCACATTTGGCCACACCAAGGTCAGCGGGGAGGGCCTGGCTCCCCTGTAGCCAAGTCTTGTTTGCCCAGAAGAGGGGATAAGGAGTCAAGGCAGGGGCGGGAAGGACGCTGTTAGGGAGCAGGGCTACACTCTGGGCCATGGGGCTCCGTCTAGCTGGGGTCCCCAGGAGAAAGTCCAGAGCTCGCTGGAGAATCACCCCACCCTTGGAGAGATTTTCTTCTCTGAAATCAATGGCAAGAGACAGATTGAGTTTCTCAAGCTGTGACAAGGTCAGTGGGTTTGTTCCAGGGGCAGTGAGGATGGGGGCCAGACCTAAAAAGGAAGAGGGGCGAGGAGAAGGGGTCAGCAGCCAGGGGTAAACGGGTACAAGGCCCCCCAAGGCTGCAGGACCAGCTCCCACCATTTACATTTTAAAGCATGCCCTCTGGTGCGCATGTCTGGGAATGCAGGGCTCCATGAGCGGAGCAGAGTGTCCCTTTGGGAGGTTGGAAGAACCAGTGCCACCCCCACCCTGGCCCACAGCATGACTTCAGCCCCTACTCGCCCCCCCTCCAGCCACATATCCTTGTGCAGGCCACACCTCGCCCAACCGTACATGGCCCCCTGTCCCAAGAGTCCCCGGCATGTCCAGTATGTCCGCGCTGACCTTCTCCCAGGGTGGTCCTGCTCGCCTGCTCACTCCACCCGGGAAGAGAAGGTGGGGAACGCAAAGTCCCCCTTCTCCAGCCTCAGCCCTGCTCTTTCTCCAACTCTGTGGCACTGGGGAGCCACGGGGCTTCAGAAATGCCCCCTCGGCCTGGGCTCTGAAGGGCAGCTAGGAGTCCCACAAAAACGAAGGCGTGGAGGAGAGTCCAGACGGAGGGACACGCCATCCCAACACTGTACCAGGACTCAAGTGGGGTGGGGGAGGGGAGGTAGGGGGAGAGACCGAGGCCAGCTGGGACCACGGGTGACTGGATAGGCCACCAAGCCCTAGGAACCGCAGCAGAGCAAAAGCATTGGGATCCCAGCAACCCCACCAGGGTGAGGAGGAAGGGTCTCCAGGAGACCTAGGACTCTGCAGGGCGGCTGCCCGCCAGTCAGCCGGGCTAGTGGTATCCTGGGCGAGGGGATGAGTGGGGGCCAGGGAGGGAGAACAGAGAAGAACACAGAACAACAAGTCGCTCAGGCAGGGGCTGGGGAGAGGAGGACAGAGGCCAGACATTAGAGAAGGTGGGTTTATGGTTTGGATGTGGTGTGTCCCCTCTAAAACTCACGTTGAGGGGCATCGGGTATAGCCACTAGTAGAGCATCGGCCTAGAATGCAAGAGGCCCTGGGTTCCATCTCTAGCACAGGAAGAAAAACAAAATCACGCTGAAATTTGGTCCCCAGTGTAACGATGGTGCTGGGACCTTTAAGAAGTGATTTGGTCATGGCTCACAAAGGAATCAACACTGCTTTCTCAGGCCCAGGTTGATTCCTGCAGAAATGAGTGGGTTATTTTAGTATTTAGTATTTTATTTACTTTGCAGTTCTGGGGATGGAACCCAAGGAGTGAGTTCTTATACACTGACGGGGCCTCTTCTGTCATTCATCTCTTCTGCACATGCCCATTTGCTTTTCTGCCATGAGATCAATCAGCACAAGGCCCCCTCCAGATGAGGCCATGAGATCTTGGACCTTGAGCCTCCAGAACTGTAAGCTTAAATAAACTTATTTTCTCTATAAAGCACCCAGTCTTGGGTATTCTGTCATAGCAACAGAAAACGGACTAAGACAGGAGGACGGACAGGACAGCATTGAAAGAATCCAGACAGCGTGAGATGTTACCTTACTTGCAAGCCAACGACTTAGCTGGCCAGAGCGCCACAGAGACTGGGAGAAGACAAATCCCGCAGGGGGACATGAAGAGGACCAGATGGTATCCAGGGTACACACAGTGGGTGTGTTTCAGGAAAGGAACTCAAACTTAACCATGAGCAGAAAGCAAGCCTGCCCTTTGTCCCATGAGGAGACTACCTTCAAGGTTGTCCCACAGACATCCTTGAAAACACAGTCCAAGACAAAAGATCCTTAGTTGACTGTGCCTCATTAACAGGATGTGTGAAAACATAAGACACAGAATTGGGTCCCGGCAGCAGAAGGAATACAAAGAGTTGTAAAGTGGGGCAGGGGTCTGGGATCTCCCCAGCTTAGGTGAGAGGGTGACGGTGGCACTGTCCACTGAGATGGTGTGGAGAGGTGAGCAGGCTGGGAGAGGGGCCCAGGGACTGCTGGGTTCCATCTCTAGCACCAGGAAGAAAAAAATCACGTTGAAATTTGGTCCCCAGTGTAACAATGGCGCTGGGACCTCTAAGCACCTTTAAGATGGTGCTGGGATGGAGGTGGTGGCTGAAACCAGGGTTTGAATGGCTTTCCTCTCTCCTCTCTGCACCCCTCATGGGCTTGCCCCCCACCATCACCCAGTATCCTTCTACCTAGAATTCCACCTTACCTCTTATGTAATTATCAACTGCCTGTGGTCAGGGCAGGAGCCCTGAGGGGTGTCCCATCTGGATGCCAGGCCCAGGTCTGTGTCTCAGCTCTGCCCACTTGCCTCCTTCTGCTGCCCCACCCCCACCCCAGAGCCCCCATCTTGGTCTCCAATCAAGATCCCATCAAGGCCTCTCCATGGCTCCATGGCTATCCAGACCACAAACCACGGAGACAAGAGGGGCCACAAAGCCTGGGCATCTAGTGGCAGAGGTCAGGGGCTCCCCCTGGTGTGGACTTCCCCTAAGCAGAGCTCAGGAACTGTGATGGGGCCTTGCAGTCCCTCCAGCCAGAACCTCAACGTCACCCTGCCTGCTTGCTGCCTTACCTTCCTTACCTCTGAAAGCAAGGATCATGCCTTGATCCATGCAGGAGAGCGCTCCAGAGATGAATGAAGGGCTGGGGGTGGGCTCAGCGGTGGGACAGTTGCACTGCTCAGGGCTCAACCCAGTTCTGTCCCAAGTGCTGCAAAAAGAAGGAGGGGAATGAATGAATTATGGTCCTACTGTCGCAGGGGCCTGAGGGTAGTAGGAGAAGCCCCAGTTTAGATTCTTCCTCTGGGAGCCCCTCTGCCCTCAGTCCAAGGTCCCCTCCCTCCCGCTTCTCTTTGCCACTCAGCACTAGGTTCAAGGCCATTCCTGCACTTGCTCTGTGCGACTTGGAGTTGCACCTTGCAAGGTGACAGGCTGGACAGGCTGGGATAACCCAGTTAATCAGCAGCCGTTGCCTTGCACGTGCCAAGAAATACCACTCCCGGGTCCGCGTCCCGCGGGGTGGAGATCCCCTCCCAAGTCCAGGACAAAGGACCTACCTCCGCCTCCTGCCTGCCCGGGCGACCCGCCCCGGCTCTCAAGTACGCTCCCTCGCGGGTGCAGAACGGCGGCGCGGCCGCGCGGGGGCAGCAGACACCGGGCGCCGGGCCCTGCGCGCTTGAAGCTCAGCAGGAGGGGCGGGGCGTTGTGTTTTGGCCACTCCACCCGCGAGGCAGGTTTCCCAGTGATTACAAAGTAGTGTCATCCCCAGGAGCTCTCCCTGTGCTGGTCCCGTAATGCCTGGGTTTCAGGAGGCGAAACCACCGAGAAATGGTCAGGATCCATATTCCCCCCTTTATCTTATGTTTCAATAATGAAAACTTAATTTTTTCACTTTTTTTCAGATATACACAGAAATGATTTATATGGCTCCATACTTGCAGGGATTTGCACTTTTTTTCTTGCTAAAGATGGCTTTATCTAAGGGGCTTAAATGCAAAACTGATGCTTATAAATGGATGGAAGTCTCGGGACCCTATCCTGGTTATAGGAGCTGGTTTATGAGTTGGACAGGTTGGGGTTTGAACTGACCTCTACCACCTACTTACAAGCCCATGACCTTGAACAAGCTCGTTCAGAGTTTGCTTCTGTATAACACAGGCAATGTACTTAGAAGAAACTTCCAGAGAGGATATGGAAAGAAGTCAATGAATTAGGGACTGTGATGTGCTTTTGGGCAAGGCTTGGGGCTGGGGTGGGGGGTGGTCTAAAGTCAGCCTCTGATAAAAAAAGGAACTCATGAAATCTTGGAAACAAAAAAAGCTCCAAGTTGGATGGAAATTCTTTAAAAATGTGTGCATATTTACAAAAAGAGATTACCTGGGGTGCTCAGATTTTGTAAATTCACAAATTGATGTGAGGAAATAATCATTTTCACCAAACAGCTTTCAGGCAGTTCACTTAGTGCCCAACCTAATATTGAAATTTCAAAATCAAGATATTTTTTAAACCTGCAAAATACAAAGAATTATCACTGCAACCTTAAAATTAATGCAAAAAATTAACATAAAATTGAAGGAAATGCTTTGGAAATGTTCCTTAAAGAGATATAAAGTAGTCATGCATGATGGCCCACAGCTACTCAGGAAGCTGAGGCAGGAGGATTGCAAGTTTGAGGCCAGTCTTGGCAATTTAGTGAGTCCCTAAGCAATTTAGTAAGACCTTATCTCAAAATTAGAATAAATAAATAAATAAATAGGACTAAGGTTGTAGCTCAGTGGTAAAGAACCCCTGGGTTCAGTCCCCAGTCTCTCTCTCTCTCTCTCTCTCACACACACACACACACACACACACACACACACACACAAAGTCATACTTAGTGTTAGCAGGGGTTCAATAAATATTTGTCAAATAAATGAATGACTGGATTACTGATTTTAAAAGAAAGTCAGCCAGGCACAGTGATGCACCTGTAATCCCAATGGCCGGGGACCTAAGGCAGGAGGATAGCAAGTTCAAATCCAGCCTCAACAATTTAGCAGGACCCTGTCTCAAAATAAAAATAAAAATGGCTGGGGGGCGTAGCTCAGTGGTAAAGGGCCCTCTGAGTTCAATCCCCAGTACCACAAAATAATGATTACTATTGTTAGTAGTGGAGCTGGACATGGTTTTTAATGCTTCCTACTTAGGAGTTAAAGCAGGAGGATCTCAAGTTCAAGGCCAGCCTGGGCAACTTGGGCAAGAATCTGTCTCTAAATAAATAAATTAAAATAAAAAGCTCAGTGGTGGAGTGTCCCTGAGTTTAATTCCCCAGTACTAAAAAAAAAGAAAAGAAAAGAAAAGAAAGAAGGAGGAAGAAGAGAGGAGGAGAAAAAGAAGATGATCAACCTCAGGATTTGGGAGAAAAAATGGGAATAAAAACCGCAGTGATACACTGTCTCTCCTTCCTTTGCAAAAAACCGCAAAGACCCAGCATTGGTGTGGCTCAGCAGTGGAGCGCTTGCCCACCAGCCCCGGGATCAACCTCCAGCCCTTGGAAACACAGAAAATGTCCCGGGCAGACAGAGGGGCGGACAGAGGGGGGAGAGGGGGAGAGAATGGAAGGAAGGAGGGACACGGAGGAGTGGCACGGCCCAGGGCACATCGGGACTTGCCCCCTAGCGCAGCCTCCCTACGCTTCGATGCTTCGTGTGCTGGAAAATTCTTCCGCCCACGCTGCCCATGAACCCGCGTGGGAAACTGGAGCAGGCCGACCCCTCGCTGCCCCCTGCGCTCCTCCACCCGCAGCCGCCCAGGGCTCACTGACCCGGCTGAACAGCCCGCCCTGAGGGACAGACCCGTGCACAGGTGACTCAGCCAGGGGTGACTCAGGGTGGTTTAAGTGGGTGAGACCCTCGTGCCTGGGGGGAGGACCTCAAGGACAAGGTTAACTGAAAAGGGGCAACGCAGCATGGCATTGAGGCGGCTTCTTCAAACCCACCGAGGAGTGTGGTGGGTCTGTCGTCGGTCGTCCTGGAAAAAAAATACACACAGGAAAAATATAGAAACCAAACCTAGAAGGTTCCTCCCTAAGGGAAAGTCAAGAAAAAAATTTTTTCACTTCCTACTTTCAAACCTTCTGGTGCCAGGAGGACAAACTGCTCACATGTTTTTCTTCTGACTGGTGGATGCCTGAAGGGTGACAATAAACCAGTCAAACAAAGATCTCAAGGGAGAGTGATCCAGAAAACAGAAGTGCAAGGGCCCTGGGGCATGGAAGAGACCAGGCCCCGACAAAGGAGAGCAGTGGGGGGTGGGGGGGTAAGGAATTTGGCTTTGGGGTTTGCAGCAGATGAGTAAATTCACCAAAAGTGTACTGTAAAAACATCCTCGGGTTGGGCACAGTTTCTTAACTGTTGAAATTGCAGGGGCTGGGGATGTGGCTCAAGTGGTAGCGCAGTCGCCTGGCATGCACGCAGCCCGGGTTCGATCCTCAGCACCACATACAAACAATTGTGTCCGCCAAATACTAAAAAATAAATATTAAAATTCTCTCTCTCTCACTCTCTCTTTAAAAAAAAAAAAAGAAACTGCATACACAGAGTGAAGCAAGGGACATTTTATCAGTTTGTTCTTTCGCGTATGTTTTGAATTTTAAGTCTGAAAACATTTTAAAATAACTTCAGGGCTGGCTGTGTAGCTCAGTAGCAGAGCACCTGCCTGGCACACATGGTGTCCTGGTTTCGATCACTAGCACCACAGATGATGGTAATATTCAACCTCTGGCTATTGTGAAGAAAATGGACTGTGGTTGGGACAGAGGAAGAGGCAGGGAGGCCAGTAAGGAGGCCGGCCACAGGGTCTGAACAGGACAGAGGGCAGATGGGACTGGAGTGGCAGAGGTGGAGAGGCAGGAAGGCCATTTCAAGGTCACAAGATTTGCTGCCGGACAGAATGGGAGGGAGGT